TGGAGCTCTTTCTCCTTCAGCTGATCTGTCCAGTGAGAAAGAAATCAGTCAACTAAGGGCATGAGGAAAGTACTCACAGGACACCCCTGATTTGGCTGAAGGCAATCTCCAAGCACGTGCTCTCACGTATACTCTTTGACCATCTGCACATTATAGTCACTAACAAGTAAGCCCATTAAAAGTTAATTAGAAGTCCCTGGTATGACCAGGTATATGATTTCAGAACTAGTTATAAAAATTGCATGAATTCCAATTAATAACAAATAATTTCTTTTTCTCCTATAATGTGTCTGAACAATGTGTGAAAGCAGATTCTCTGTTTGACGAGTAAATACTAAGATCTCTCAGTCTGAGTTTTCAGCAAGAGTTCATGCCACCCAACTCTTAGTGCCTTACAATAAATCAACCTACTGAGATATTTTTGTCACTAAGGGCAGAGTTAATTTCAGATTAAAAAGCTTTGCTCACATTGTAAGCAAGCTCCTTGTTGACACAAATGTATAATCTAAAAATACAAGAATTAAATACGCCACAAAGTGAGTTTAGGTTTTTCTAGTGTGCTTTTAAAAATCAGCTCCATAAGAATTGTGAGCTTTATTTTCTTATTAGTCACACTTGTTTATTATTACTGGACTAATTTCAATCCACTGAAGCTCAAGGATAACATCAGTACCCCATACCCCAAGAACCACCTCTGAATGGTGTTGCTAGAGGGGATGCTCTGTGCTCTGACAGGATCTTAACATATCCTTAGCCCTAAATTTAGAGAAAGTTATTGCTATTTGTGGCATCCCTGATCCAAAGCCCACGGAGGCTTTCGAAAAATTTCAGTGTGGATCAGAAGGGATGATGGGATGATGGCCAGGCTGAGAGACCTCAATTAGACACACATTCCATTCACTGGTCAACACAGAATGCAGAACACACCAAAGCACACTGTGTTCCTTGCCTGTAAGCCACACCTCTTCCACATCTTATTTTTCTATTCATTTACTAATGCCCAAACTTTTATCGCAAAATAGTGCAAGTGATACATATTAAGGGGTTTATAAGAAAAAGGGGTGGAGAACAGGTAAAATGAACATTTTTTTTGTGGAGCTTTAGCTTTACAAAGATTCCCTTGGTATCATATGGCAATGAGAAAGAGTGATACTTCAAAATTATGAAGTTGTAATTGGTGCCTAGTTACTAAATTATGCAGACACTTCCAAGCTGCTACAATCAATTAGTGGATACTGAGGACTCATTTTGAAAATTTCTAGAACATTTGGAAGAAATAACCTGGAGGCAGAGTAAGAAAAATTAGTAATTCTTTTCAGAAATGAGAAGGTCATGTCTCTAAGGCAGCATCTCTAAACTCTTCTGTCTTCAACCAGCCCTTTAAACTTGAACTGAAATTTTAATTAGAAATTGATTGATTAATTTGAACCCATGTTCAAAACCATCTCCACCTGGGACTTGCCTCTGCTAAGTGCTCCCTCAAAACTGTTACAGCTAACAGAAAAGGATTTTATAAAGATTTTAAGAATGTTTTCTGGTGACAGTCATTGAATGTCATTTTTACACTACAGGGTGAGTTCTGTACCCCCAATGCCAATATTCCACTCACCCTGAATACCTGAATACCCACAATATCTGAATATCCACAATACCTGAAACATATCCCATCCTAAGAAACAAAATCAACACAAAAACACCTTCTGACAGTCTACAATATAAGAAAAACTGCCTTGAAAAGTGACTGAAGAATCAAAAATCATTTACACTAAGGTTCCAACAGCCTCATGCTCTCACTGAACATGAGAAAAGGTTAAGAGTCCGTAGCACCCAGCAGAATCAGCTCCCTGAAGCTTTCTCTTTTTGTTCTGCAGTGCCACACCAAGGTATGTATCACAGGGGTTTGGCACACAGCGGTCACCACCCGCCACACAAACAACTCCACAGCAGAATTTCCCTATCACTGGCCCTCCTCCAGTTTACCCAACGAGCAAACAATCCCAAACCCAGCCCACAAGAGCAATGCCAGGAGGTTCTGCTGGGAAGGACCGAGAGCCACAGCAGGGAAGCCTGTCCTAAAGGAGACCACAACAACTTTCTGCCCCAGACACGCTGGTGCCGGGGGACCAGCTGCTCCACCACACGAGAGTCACCCAACCACAATGCAGAACTGCAGATAGATTTCTGATCCACGTTGCTGTCTCCAGAAAGGGCCTGAAACTGTGTTAATTCTGAACTACGCAACTGTAAAAAGAGTGAAGGGCTGTGCTGAGGCTACTGCAGGAAATCCAGTTATGTGCTTAGCCCACTCATTTATTCAATACCTGACACCCAGCTGGAGCAGGGTATAGCAGAGATTCCTGGACAGGAGTAAAGACAACAACAACAACAACAACAAAATAAGTCAGTCAGCAATCTGATGAAAACCAGCTTCTATTCTTGACAAGTTGTCACTCAGCTCTTCCACTTTATGCTGGTTTTCCCCTCCTCAGCAACTCTGCCATTCAGGGGCTGGCAGCAGCTTCTGCTTTAATGAAGCCAAGAAAGGCATCCCCACTCATTTATTCAATACCTGACACCCAGCTGGAGCAGGGTATAGCAGAGATTCCTGGACAGGAGTAAAGACAACAACAACAACAACAACAAAATAAGTCAGTCAGCAATCTGATGAAAACCAGCTTCTATTCTTGACAAGTTGTCACTCAGCTCTTCCACTTTATGCTGGTTTTCCCCTCCTCAGCAACTCTGCCATTCAGGGGCTGGCAGCAGCTTCTGCTTTAATGAAGCCAGGAAAGGCATCTTCTAGCGCTGGGAATAAAAAAGGCTGCAATGTTTTCTTGCGCTGGGAATAAAAAAGGCTGCAATGTTTTTTTATTTCCTTGCATTCCACCCTCTTGTCATCTGAGATTTATTCATCACCCTCTTGCCTGGGAGAAGAAAATGTCAATATCCCCTTTCCTCTGGGACAGAGGTCAAAGAGGAAGCAGACATGCTGTTCCCAAAACGATGCCGTTCCTAAAATTACCTGCCTGATTCAGAGCAGCACAAGAGGAGCCACAGGATGGGGCAAACACTTATTGCAGCACTCAACAAGCCAGGAGTTAAAGCAGGCCGCCTGCTTCGGCCAGTCTAACCTGCAGAGTTTTACTACAGGTAAGCAATATTAGGAGCTGTTGGCAGAGAAGGGACACCATCAGGTGGTTTGTAAAATTCCACTAGGAAGTTGCTCAAAGAGGATTTTTGTCATGTTACCGGTTTGTCCACGCTCCAGGAACACAGCACGGATTATTAGAACACCCTTCAAACCTCAGAATTTCTGTTAGAAGGAAAAAGATCATATTAAAAGACTTCCCTTCTATACACATACAAACAACACTTTGTCAGGGTGTGATGTTTGTTTGATGACATTTGATCCCAGCTCTTGGAATCTTCCAGGTGTGCAGGACTGTAGAATTCAAACTAAAACATTGCATCTCTTTGGCTGGAGATATAATTCCAGTAGTGTTTTAATACATAATATATAAAAAGCAAGTTTGATGTGCCACATGGACGCAGAAAAATCAGTTTCAGATGTTAACTTCAAGCTTGTGAGAAGTTATAATATTCGGAAACCAGAAGAGACATTTTATTGTACAAACAAACATGCTGATTACAGGCTGCTACAAGCTGCAGTCCCTTGCATTTTCCACCACACCCTCTTGAACTTGAATTACAAATGGGAAAAGTGAAGTTACACAGACAAAAATACTCATAGACAGCCCTTTCAGACCACTACTGAGAGCGGCTTTTTTCTTTTTTCATTTTCTGTTCCAGGAAGGGTTCCTTTCCCCAGATACTGTTTTCAAACTCACATCTACGATTACTTTCCCTGAGCACTTTCAGACCTGGTAGGGTACACCTACACAGAGGACATCTGTCAACAAATATTTCTCAGAAATCAGAAGAGAACCATCACAAATCCATCACAGTTGGAATAATTTCAAAACATTTAAATAGGAAATATATGTCTTCATGAGGAACAATGCAATGAGAAAGAATCCTAGAGAAGATGAACCACTGAGAGAAAACCCTGCCTCAGCAGAGACCTGTGAACACTTCTTTGTGTCACAGCACTTCGACCTTTCAGCATCTGAGGATCCTTTTTTCATTATTCAGTCCCTTGTCATTTTGTGTACCTGTAATGGATACTTTCCTTCACACTGAAAAACAAAGCCTGACAACTAAAACCCTCGTTCTTGAGCAGGTATCCATCTGGTTTAGCTGAATCCACCATTCAACTACGACTTGTACTTGGATAGATGGCTTTCTCAAAGTCAAGTCACCTGGGCAGTACTGCTTTCCATGCATCCATCTCTATTCGTGGCAGTTACCCTAATAGTAGCTCTAGGAAAAACTCCCAGCACACAAAATACTCCAGAATAACACCACCCTGATCTGTCTGTGACACTACAAAGAAAACAGGGAGCAATTTTCTGCTTTAGGCACAGACTGCAAGGACTTCTTTTGGCAATGGAGCGTAGCATTGGTACCTCATCTGGACTGCAGCTCCAATGCTCTGCATATTTGAGGTATAGCTTCATCTCTCGGATATATTGCTGAGTTTTTTCTTTGCTTGGGGCACCAGTGCTCTTTTTGAAGCAAATCCCCCACTTATTATGCATTAGTTCAGTCTGCAGAGGTTTTGATATTTGCAAACTGGATGCTTTTCTGAAGAAACCGAGACAGATGCATGTCAAGCTAGATGTGTACTAGGTGTGCTTGGCCCTTGGGACTTGTAAGGGTCCAAATCAACAGTTAAGTCTTTTGGCCAGTAACGAATCATTTGTGTGGTAGAGGCATTTTATCCGCACACTGTACTAAATTTAGTCCACAGTAAAAATCTCTAAACCACATATATCGTGGAATATGGGTCCCCCAGCAACAACTGTTTTTATCTACTCCTATGCTCTGAATAACTTCAGAAGATGGACTGTGTAGGTCTTCCCAGGTGCTAAATCCCTTACCTGACTCTCTCTTCTTCAGCTCTCTTTAGTTCTGCATCCCGTTGCAGCACCTTCATTATTGCCTCTTGTTCCTCCTCTGTTAGGAAGCTTAGGTCAATCATCTTCTTGTGTGAGGGGGGGGCTGGTGGCGTGTCCAGGAAGATCTTAAATCCTGCTGAGGATAGGCTTGTAGTCCACTTTAAAGGTATGGAAAAAGATAAGTCTCTTCCAGCAGGCACTGAGAAAACTGAACCAGGTTACAGTCAGGGGTTTAAAGAGCCCCAAATATTGCTTTCTTGCAGTAGAGTATGCACGTGCTTCCCTAGATGAGGGACTTTTGACAAAACATTGTATTCCTGCTTGCCATCATAATGGTGTCTTCTCAGCTTGTCCTCTCAGCTCTGCTTCCTGGAGTAACAGTTCATTGACCCAGCACATCCAGTGTTTAAGAACAAACAAAACATCCCTAAAACGAGACAAGGAAGAACAAGCTGTAATATCGGGGATCAGGGAAGTAGATTATGTATGCATTTTTTAATTAAAAGAAACAAGTTTTTCAGTGCTATTAAACTACTTTGTGAAGTTCAAATGGTCACTTCAAGTCAAACCTGTTTTACAGGTCTCTTGAACAAGGTGGCCATGAAAATATATTCCTTTCCTATATGGCAACTCACACCCTGAAACACAGAATCAAGTGTCACTCAAATGATACATTTTTAAATAGGTGCATTTGAAGTTGTCCTTTAAGTCAACAGAACAATTTGTTGGGGGAGGGGGGAGAGAGAACAACCAACACATGGACAGGACCAAGAACACTTACCACATTCATTTAAAGTAAAAAAAAATATAAAAAAACCAACCAACCAAAAAAAAAACAAACCAACAAGACACAAAGCATGTATTGACATTATATTGAAGAGCACCCAAGAAATCTGTGTCTATGGTTATCACATACAAATAGACAAGATCCAGATATCTCTGAGGAAAAATTCACTGCTGATTCACAGCAGAGCAGTGGACAGAGAAAGGCAGCTCAATATACATCCGTCAAATAGACAAGATCCAGATATCTCTGAGGACAGAGAGAGGCAGCTCAATATGCATCCATGGTGTTCACCTTCTGCCAGCATAGACTTGAATCACAGAATCATCTAGGTTGGAAGGGACCTTAAAGATCATCTAGTCCAACCATCAACCTAACTCTGACAAAAAAAATAAATAAGAAATAAGCAATAAAAAAAATAATCACTAAACCATATTTCTGAGGACCATGTCAACCCATCTCTTGAACACCTCTAGGGATGGTGCCTCAACCACTTCCCTGGGCAGCCTATTCCAGTGCTGGATAATGTGGACTTGGATCACGTCCACAAATTCTCTTCACGAGGTTGGGGTTTATTTATTTAAAGAAAGGTTGCCTGAACTCCAGAAACAGGAGACTTATAGGAAAAAAACCCCCAACGACTTGGACTGAACTCACGAGCTTGCCATGCTGGTTTACTTATCATTAGCACGTTTCTAGGACACTGCAGTGCTGGATAATGTGGACTTGGATCACGTCCACAAATTCTCTTCACGAGGTTGGGGTTTATTTATTTAAAGAAAGGTTGCCTGAACTCCAGAAACAGGAGACTTATAGGAAAAAAACCCCCAACGACTTGGACTGAACTCACGAGCTTGCCATGCAGGTTTACTTATCATTAGCACGTTTCTAGGACACCATCTTTAGCAAGTCTCCAACCAAACAGAGCAAAAGAATCATCCCATGAGGGCAAGCCATTGAACTTCTGGACCCCATTCCACTCCTACCAAACAGCGTGCCTCACTCTCCGCACCTGTCTTCCCACTCCAAGCCTTCAAAGACTCCTTTCTCCTTCCAGGAGATCAGAAAGGCAGCAATCATCACAAGCCCTGGAGGAAAACCCTTGAGGAGGTCCTCAGAAAGTTGCCAAATGCAACACATTGCAGCAGTGAGATGGGAATGTGTTAGAGGAATTTGTGTACTCTAGTTCAAGACATAGGGATCATGAGACATTGTACCAATTTGAGAACTTTCTGCAGGATTTTGTCTTCTATTTGTAATAAAAAAAAGCTTCTCACATGCTACTCAGGATTAAAAACAACAGGCTTAAGAGATTATTTCCTCAGAATCCTCCCAAATGGGAATCCTATAACAGACTTTTGACCAAGATACTCTTTTCCCCTCAAAACGCACAACACTCCCCTCTGAAGGGTCAGGTTCCAGGTTTGCACAGTCAAGTTCCTTACACTAAACCTTTTAAACTTCCTGGTGGATGGTGTCAGAAGTGCTATGTCATTTTGACTAGCTACCTTGAGATCAAAAGGAAGGGAACCATTTCAGGCATTTCCCTTTCCTCTGTACCAGCCCCTGCTTTGGGAAGGAAAGTCAGGGCATCTATGATTGCTATAGGCTTTAACACAGTTTAATTTACAAGATATAAATGCAGCTTTTACTCACAACATTTTACCACTAAGAGTGTAGGATTATGTCAGGAATATGATCTCACGGAGGCCCAGAACATATGGAATTAATGCAAAATAATTTCTACATAACCATCTTGAGTATGTGAAATTAGAAGTCATGCGGTAACATGAACCTCACTGCTTTATCCAAACCAAACTGCACCTATAAGCAGTAATTTAAAATACTGTTTTGCCTCTATTTTATAGGCCGTGGCTCCAGATCTCTAAAAAAGCAGAGCACTATTAACTTAGAAGGCAATCCCAACTGTCAAAGGCAAAAATCTCTTCTTCCAAAAAATGCAGAGGAATAAAAGAGGAGGCAGGGGTGGAAATCAGATGCATCTAGAGTCGAGCCTGTTAGTGCCCCAAGGTAACAGCATCATGGATGTAATGAAGCCAAAGAAAAAGAAATAAAGAGCTTGAATTTCATGTAAGCGTCAGAAGCATCGCTAGTAACAAGAGAAGCAGATGTAGTTATTGCCTGGTCTCTTTATTTGGCAGCTGCCATCACAGTCCTCAACCAGGAGACTCAAACAAGATATGAACGTGGGCACTACTCAAAGGGAAACTTCAACAACATTTCTTATAAACGTGGAAGGCAACTGAAGTCAGGTTAATCTTTATCCCCCCCAACAACCCCAATGCCCAACAACCTTCTGCATAGGGTTATGTTTGGCTGCCTTATTTATCTTCCCCATGATTCCCATTTGATCTTGTTCCGTGAGGTTGATACGCAGCATCTCAGACAACCTGCCATCTGGTAACTATTTCTATTTTGCAAATGACAGTTTCACAAGTAGGCAGAAGTAAAAAGTGCTTACTATAGGGCTATCAACAAACATAACAATCCTAAGTTTGCTGAGTATCTACAACAGTACTCTTTCAGTTTACAAACAGGTATGGGTATCTGTTTTAACCATCGTGTGGAACCTTTTCACACCATTTGATCCACCACTCAGCACCCACAGTGCTAATCCAACGCCCAGCTGCCAACAGGCACAGAAGCTGATATTGCAATCACAAAACCTGAAGAGCTGTGAACTGGAATTATCAAGGCTATGGGTATCTGTTTTAACCATCGTGTGGAAACTTTTCACACCATTTGATCCATCATTCAGCACCCACAGTGCTGATCCAGTGCCCTGGGTGCTGACTGAATTGCCCGTGCCCAGCTGCCAACAGGCACAGAAGCTGATATTGCAATCACAAAACCTGAAGAGCTACAAACTGGAATTATTGAGGATATTTCTTGTAAATTGGGCAAGTTTCTTGCCTAAGATCAAGCAAGTCTGTAAGAAAGCTGTTGTAGGAATGATCTCTTACCACGTCTTCATGTTTAAAGGCCAAGGGAAGAAGTGTCATATTGTCTATTAGATTCATTTAAATATCCAAAAGAAGTAATTGGGCAGCATTTCCAAAACAAGCTGTAGGCTTCATCAGTGTCTCACAGTATTCAAATTAATAAAGCTAATGGAAGCAGAACTTCAGTCCTCTCCAACTGAACAACAGTTTGCAAGGGCAGAGCATCCCCACAGGCTGTGGGAGCTCAGAGCAAGCTGCTCTGCTGCTACTGAACTTCCCAGATACCATCATCCTGTAGAGCTGTTTCTGCAACTAAGATTTCACTCTCACTTTGTTTCCTACCAGGTGCAAGATACCACCTACCCTGGCAGGATCTTAACCATTCTTTTTTTCCTGGTAAATATCATATAACATGGTTTCACAGTTCACAAAGCTGCATTTTGCTAAGTTTAACATACTTACTGCGTCTGGCTTAACCTGGAGCACATTTTTCTCCCAGCTCTTCCTATATGATTCTGATCCACTTGCACTCATCCCGTGTTCAGATTTCCATGGCATCATATTAGCTGGTTTTGCTCCCAGCCTAGGTTATGAGAAAAAGCTTCCCCAATCCTGAGTAGTGCAGCTGAGACCCCGTAGGCTCCTCTGCAAAGCTAACATCATAGTGCTTCAGCTGAGGTATATCTGAGTACCTGAAAAACTGGCCCCTGATCTCACTGGATAAGTAGTTGAAAAACGTAGCAATAATCAGTTAGGTTCCCCCTTCTCCCCCTCCTTTTTTTTTTCTTCTAACGTGTATCATCCATATAGCACCAATCGTATCCCTTTTCACTCTAATAACATGTCTTCAGTCACTGGAACCACGCCAGTCACAAATTGAAACCAGAGCAGTTTTTAAGTCTCTGCATAAACAAGAAGAGAACCTCTTTCTGTGTGTGGTGTCCTTGGCCAACCTCATGAGAATCTGGTAGATGTTACTGCAGGGCTGGCTTTCTGCAAGGAATTGTTAGCACTGATTCCAAGCACAGAGGGTACAAACTGCCAACTTTGAGTGCAGCACCTGCTGTAAGACCCAACGCTGATTAAATAAAAAAATAAAAAAATTAAAATAATCAATCCCTTCCTTCCAGCCACCCACTAGAATCACCCCAAGCTAAATTCTTTTGATTTCTTTTTTGACAATTTTTTTTTAAGTTTCTTAAAACCCCCTACAGATGCCAAAAAGAACTGAGAGGCCTCAACAGTTTGGTTGGTGCCAGTGCAAGTTCAATGGGAAGTTTTCCTTTGCCAGGAAAGTTTTCAGACCTAAGCTTCAAATAAGACTGAAAGACTGATTAAATTGCAGAAAATAATAGAAATATCACATTAACTGATTTCTGGAGAAAAGGTGTCATATGCTGTGGACTAACATTTGTGAGTGTTAAGATATTTGGTATGTTACGATATTTGGTATGATTTTTGTTTCCTAAACCTTAAATTCAAGTTAAACCACACAACGATCTTCCCTTTCATAAAAGATTTCCAATCCCTGTAATAAACAGGAATCTGAAATAATGTTTTATGCCACTCATGCATGAAAGTTTCTATGTTTTGGCAATAAAAGAAGCAGAAAGAAGGCACAAGACAAAGTTTCTCCTCCCTACTCTTAAGTTATTCACAACTTCCAAGTGCTTTA